AAACCAATGTCCAGGAGTCAGTTTGACAAAAGACTTTCGAATGTGTTACAGAGAACTGCTCCACAGAGTGTTCTTGACGGTGGTCTTTACGGAAGGCGATTGTTGGGCCTTCATTCCGAGGCACTGCTGCATGTGGTGGCCATCAGCACCCTTCTGTCCACCACCACCCCTTTTCATGTGGACTAACAGTATTCTTGTAGTACTAGGATTTAGCAACACTATTTTAATACTCTACCAATGACTCTTTTTGGTCATTAGAAGAAAAAGGGTCACTATAGAAACAATCTACTAAGTAAATGTTACGGAGACAGTTTCCTGGAGGCTGTGAAGTAGTCTATTGAGATATGCTAAATTGGTGCTTCTCCAACAGGATATTCTGATCCTCGCTTTATTTTATGTGTGAATGGAAGAATAATTGAGGAAACATGAGCCCTGGAATCCTGTGTCTTTCTTTACAGCATGAAATAGCATAATGCACACACACAAAATTTAAGCTGTCAAAGGCAAAGCAAGTATGATAATTTAGGGTAATTAACTGCTAAAAGAAGTCAAAATAGAAATGATCCCACTAAGCTTTTCTCACTGAAAGGAAATTTCTTTTAAAAGTACTTGCTGATCTAAATATCTTTCAACAGGGCATTTTTCTTTAAGTGATACATGATTTTTTTAAAGGAAAAAACCATGACAATACATATCCTATGAGCCCTATTATATAAAAATAGCAGAAATAGAAACAAAATGGAAAGATATACATATCAAATTGCACTCAATGTTCTACATCGAAGCTTTCTATGTTGTGTCTCTCTCTACCACTCGATTTTGAGCTGCTTTGCTGTCACATAAAATATAAGGCACCCAGTTCAACTTGATTTACAGATAAACAACAACAAAACAAATTTTTAGTGTAAGTATAGCCTTAATATTGTTTGGGCCATATACATACTAAAACAAAACAAAAATACACTGCCATCAAGTCGCTGCTGACTCAGTGACCCTCTAGGAGAGGGGAGAACGGCCCCGGTGAGTTTCTAAGACTGGAATTGTAGAAAGCCCCACCTTTCCCCCTGGGAGCAGTTGGTGGCTTCCAGTTGCTGACCTTGCAGTCAGCAGCCCAATGTGTGACCACTATGCTGCCAAGGCTCCATAGAAGTTAAGAGACGGTCTCTTAAATACCAGCAGGGTCACAACAAGTTTTCGCAGTTTCTGGACTCAAAGAGGAGAATCTGGAAATCTACTGCTAAACACAACGGCCAGTTAAAACCTTATGAAAAAAACCTTGGAACATTATCTCTATAGTGCCCGAGTATGAAGTGGCCGTCCAAACCAGACAGAAAACCAGAGAGATCTAGGTTTCAGCGCTGCCTACATGGAACAGAGCAGGTCTTAGCCCAAACCCTTAATCTCACCAAGTGGTGAGATTGTGAGATAAATTTGAGAGGCAGACAATCCTGGACGTGCTTCCCACTCCACTACTGTTTCAGTTGCAAAATTGAGTCTAGTCTAAATTTCCTCTTCAGTAAAATCAGACTGAGGGGACTTAACTAGAGTACGGATGTGAATAATAAAGAGATAATTCCTATAAAGTAATTACCTTGACTTGACAAGTAGAAGATGCTGTTATTGTCCTTCATTATTAGTTCTGAGACTCAGTTTTTTTTCCCTTTGCAAAACAGAAATAATAACAGCCATAAGAAAATAAGACAAAGACACAATAATATCTGTGCCTTGCCAGAGTTGTCTTGACGATAGATGAGACTATACATTATCCTTATAAACTCTAGAGTATTTTGCTCTCATCTAACAAAAAGCAGTTGAAGTTAGAGATCAAAATTGATAGTATGCTGCATCATCGCTACAGTTTTCCCCTGAGTAACTGATCTTATTTTCAAATGATTATAGGGAACATGGACTTGGTTTATGAATTTGATATACTAGTGTAGATGTAGAAGACTACAATCTTTGAGAAACTTTCCTGCAAAGTGTTTAACACATTACATTTTTTAAATAAGGAAAGTTGATTAAGATAAATGTTAAGATTCAAATTAATGAAATTGGCCATCTGCAGCCCCTTATCTGGGCCATTTTTGTTGTTAGCTCTATTGACTTTCTTTTCACAAAAGCAATCAGGATCGATTCCAGAGTCCGCAGCTTTCTTCATATGAAAGGCACACGCCAGAGGCATGCAAGTCAGCATCCCTAATTTCATCCTTTTTAACACCAGCAACTCTTAAATGTTCTATTTTCCCATTGAAATGAAAGAACTTGAAATACTCTTGTTGTTTTCCCCGGAGAACTTGTTTAAATGGAACAAAGAGCATACAACATGATCCCCCTTGCAAAAGCAAGGGCAGAGCTTTCCTTGCCCTAAAGCTCGTCGCCGTAGTAACAGATGCTCCTGGTAACCTATCAGTTTGACGGCTCCCCTAGCCTAGTAGCCAGGCGATGGACTTGGGACCAAACTTTTCTCCCTAAGCGGCCTTTTCATCCCTCCCGGTGGTGAACTCACCCTGTTTAAGTGACTCCCTAGAAACCCCCCCGCCGCCCCCACTCCGTGCCACATCTGGTGGGGGGGGTGAGGGTCCGATTTCAGGGTGACTCACGTCGTTGCTATTTGTCTTTTGTTTCTATGATGCTTTGGCTGCGGTTTCCTTTCCTCTGCTTTTAATTTTGGGAGCAGAAAACCGAATGAATCAAAGATGACTCTCATTTCCTCAGGCTCTTTTTTTGTTTTTGTTTTAAGTTGGCTTCTTTCTCCAGTCCCAAGTTCGGTAACTACCTGAGAAGTGCGGGGGTGACACAGGTGGGAACGCATTAATTGCCCCTAAATCTCAAGTTGGCAACCTAAGGTACCACTTCGATCATGAGACTTCCCTAGGCTCCTCGCAAACTGCTGGGCGTTTTGCTACTGCCAAGGTACATTCCCCCCGCGGTCTGTCACGCCTACGCCTATCGCGTCACTGCCATAGGTGCCCGAAATCTGGGTGGATTCCACGAGAATCATTAGCGATTTTGCTCCGGTCGAAGGTAAACTACAGTATGTAAAGTGAGGAACCACCAAAAGATGGCCGGGAGGGGGAGAAAAAGGGATTCCCTTATGCCTTCTCCAAATCTGACATTAATTTCCACCAGGAGGAGGCGCGCAGGCCAGATCCCCCC